CACCCAGGAAGTAGAAAAACAAAGTGAAAAAAGAAACCGTGTAAACTTTAAAACCCTTACCACTTAGTTTCAATGGCAGACCGGAAGTATACGCGTGAAATTTTCAAAGGAGCTTAGAGTTGACTTGTTGACTGGTTGACTGTCGACTCTTGACTGGTTGACTGTTGACGGTTGACTGGTTGACTGGTTGACTGTTGACTGTTGACTGGTTGACTGGTTGACTGGTTGACTGGTTGACTGTTGACTGGTTGACTGTTGACTGGTTGACAGGTCGAGTATATGTTGTAGTTTGAAAATTTCAAGGATAGTTCGAGCTATACGACATCTCGTTAACGGGATTCGAAGTTCGAACTGTGGTTTATGGCAGTTCATTACAGGCGTTAATTAGTGCAGTTAATGCGGTGCTACTGTCTTCAGCTGAATAGAACGCGCCCGGTCATTGTCGCCGTATTTGGGGCAACTTTCAGACCAGATGCAGCTATAATGACCGGGCGTTCTATGTGGGTGAAGACGGTAGTTCGTGAGGACAATCACGGGTATGAGAAACCTGTGTGCGGCCAATTCAGTCAATCACACGACAGCCACCCATGCTTGCAAAGTTTGCGAATCTGCCCTCCCGGTAGGGCTTTTCCAACCAGTCATTTTGGCTCTCTCTGAACCTGGAACCTAAACCCTAAACCCTAAATTGCAAATCGTGTGACCCTTCAGTGTTCTTCCTAAACCACAAGTACCTTTCCCAGCTAACGTGCCGGCAAACGCGGGAGGCCGGCGGGGTTCGGTGCTACCGGACCGAAATGGCTTGCAGGACCAGCCAAAGTGAGGCCAGCGCTGGTTCGTTTTTTTTTTCAGCGCGCAGGGGGATTTTTTCGGCTCGGCATCGATAATACCCCTGCCCCTGTGAACCAGGATTACCCTTCTGTCTTCCCAGACCCTGCTCCTGACCTGAAGAAAACGGCATGCCCAGCACTGCTACAGCCCTGATTGTTAAATCGCCTCAATGGGGGACTCAATTGAGCTAGGGGTTTGATAGAGCTGGGGCCCACGTACCCCTTCTCTGTGGCCTCTATTAGGTACCCCTGCTCTGGGGCCTCTTGTGGGCGCGAGGAGTTTGCTAGAGCTTGGGGTTAGGTGCCCCTCCTGTGGGCCCTTTACTAAGCACCCCAGCGCTGGGCCCTCCAGCGAACCCTGGTACCGGAAGAAGGGCTAGACGTAGTGGTGATGGTCGGTGTCTAGGGGTTATGAACCCCGATTCTGTGGGCTTTATTACGTACCCCTGCTCTGGGGCCTCTAGTGCCCCCTCGTACAGGAAAAAGAGGCAGGCGCAGTGGTGATGGTCTGCGTTTAGGGGCTAGGAACCCCTGCTCCGTGTGCTTTTAATACATACCCCTGCTCCATGTGCGTTTAATACGTGTACCCCTGCTCTAGGGCCTCTAGTTCCCCCTGGTACAGTAAAAAGGGCTGGGTGCAGTGGTCTCGCTTGATGTCCCTGCGTCAACACCCTTTTTTTATTGTACCAGGGGTTGTACCTGGTCCAGTAAGTAAAAAGGCCTCTGAGTCCCTGTGTCAACACCCTTTTTACTGTACGAGGGGTTGTACCTGGTACAGTAAAAAGGCCTCTAGGTCCCTCCGTCAACACCCTTTTTACTGTACCAGGGGTTGTACCGGGTACAGTAAAAAAAAGGCCTCTAGGTCCCTGCGTCAACACCCTTTTTACTGTACCAGGGGTTGTACCTGGTACAGTAAAAAAAAAGGCCTCTAGGTCACTGCGTCAACACCCCACTCAGGGGGGTTGTACCAACTGTGGCAAATATTGTCAAAGGTCTGGATCCCAACTGCTTCTCTGCCTCCCTCTGCTCATTGGGATCCAGGTTGATGCTGAATGGAGATTTGAGATGGGTGTCTGGTCGATTGACTGACTCAAAACTACTTGCGAACAAAGAAGAAATTGAAAAGGAAGAAAGAAGAAAGGTGGATGATGACACTGAAGCGATGAAGGGAAAAAGTGGCGTTGAAATGGACGGTGTCGAGCGAAAAGTGTGCGTTTGAAACAATGTCGTCATCTCTCGATTTTTTATCACACATCCGTGACCCGCGTCAATTGAATAAGAAATTAAGAATGCATGGTCATGATAGCTATATTTGAGGCAAATTCGAGTCTACATACAACGGTAATGACTGTGTGTTTTATTCGGGTGAAGACGGTAGGCATCTGAATAAGATGCGACTGGTGCGCAAGGTACGCTCCCAATTATAGATAGACGCACAGCCACGGGTCGGATCCAAAACATTTCCTATTTTAGTAAAGACACCAATGCTTTGTGGGAACGCTGTTTGCCAATTGCGTGGGGTGCTTGCAAGGAAGAAGAGAAGAGAAAGAACAAGAAGAAGGAGGAGGGGGAGGAGGAGGAGAGGAGGAGGAGAAGAACAAAGAAAGAAGTGAAGGAAGAAAGCAGAACATAATTGGGAGTTTTGTTATGGAGGCTGACAGGTGGATTAACGATGACGACACCACGGACAGGTGGATTAATGATGACGACACCACTGCGTTGGTTCGCTGTCGAGTTCCCTTGCAGAAAGCTACGGGTGGGCTGGTCATCTGGCGAGCAGGAGGAGCCATGGTTATTTATTGCGGGAAGAATTACGAGCGGCCTGCCGATCTTGAGAGGAGGGATGAGATCAATGCGAAAAGTGGGAATAGTGTGGTCCCTCCCGTGCAAGCTGTATCGGAGATTGAAGGAGGTCCGTCGGATCAAGATGAGGAACGGACAGCTGGAAGTGCGAGGGGAACTGAAGGTATCCCGGCATCCGCTGTGCTCACTTGGGGAGGCATCGATGCGGACTTGTTGCCGAACCTGCCACGGGGATCTGTGGAGCCTCCCTTTCGCATGCTTCCCTATGGAGTGCGGGGCGCTCTTTCAGACAGGGAGATGACCCAGCTTCGGAAGCAGGTGAAGGCCATGCCCACTCACTTCCTGTTGGGTAAGTACAATTGAACAGACTGGAATCATGTGCTACGACACTAATCATCACCGCATCTCAAAATGACCTCTTATGCTGTGTTTTACGTAACTGTACACGTGGAGTTCACTTCTCTCTCTCTCTCTCTCTCTCTCTCTCACTACTGTGTGTTTGTTTGTTTCTTGTGAGTGCATGTGTGTGTTTGTGGCCGGCGTTCCAAACAGTCCCTCCAGAGAGGCGGCCTGTACAGATAGATACAAGTCCGTCCGCTTGTGCGGATCATGAAGTTATCCGCTTGGCGCTGCAGCTGTGTGTGTGTGTGTATGTGTGTGTGTGTGGGTGCGTGCGTGTGTGTGTGTGTGTGTGTGTGTGTGTGTGTGTGTGTGTGTGNGAGAGAGAGAGAGAGAGAGAGAGAGAGAGAGAGAGAGAGAGAGAGAGAGAGAGAGAGAGAGAGAGAGGGGGGGGTTCTTTAATGTTCTTTTTTGCAGGTCTTGGACTCCTCACTTTGAGGTCAAATTTTATTATTAATGAAGTTTAAAGGGAGGAGTTTTTTGGTGGACGTGTTTGAAATCTGAATTAGTTTGGTTTGTATAACAACTTTGATGTTCAATGTGTTTGTCGCACCCTGAGTGCAGATGGAGTGATATTCGCCTTCGTGTTTTCTGGAAATTATTTGTCACATTTGCAGGAAAGAATCGGGACTTAGAAGCTCTCTCGGTTGCGATTGTGAAGCATTGGGATAATAACGAAATCGTCAAAATCAAGCTCAAACGCGGTGTACCCAATTTGAACAATGAGAAAATTGCGGAGACTTTGAAGGTAAAATGGCCTGACGGTCTGCTCACATTCCTCTATCCCATGCACCCCTTCTCTCCTCCCTCTCTCCTCCCTCTCTCCTCCCTCTGTCCTCCCTCTCTCCTCCTCGTGTCCTGCCCCTCCTCCTCCTCCTCCTCCTGAGAAAGGTGAACCTTTCTGTATATTTTGGTCGCATTCACTTGTGTTTGCAATCTCTGCTCTGATTGGTCAATGGTCATTTTGCTCTGAATTATTAAACTAACAGAAGATTACGTCTTTCTCTTTCCGCCCCTTTAAAGCGGTTAGCTCCTAAGATGATCTGTATCCATCAGGACTCGAACTCGGGATCTGTTCATCAAGCGTAAGATCTGTGTACAATTCGGCTGCATGGGGTCGGGATAGAAGTTTWCCCCTCTTTTTTTTTTTTCTTTTTTTTTTCCCTGAAAAATTTGGACCATTTCTCGATTTATGCGTGTCATCCGTGAAAGCGCAGGGGCCATGCTAATCTTCATTCTCTGTATCGTTCCAATTTAAACGGATGCCCCGAAGGACAGAAGTGTACCCCTCTTTAACTCACCCTAATCCTTAAAAAACTAGCTCTCAATCTCTTGCGTTATGATGATAATCATGAGATGTATCACTGTTCTCAATGCGATGATTGCTCTTAAGCAAACAAACAAACAAACAAACAAACAAACAAACAAACAAACAAACAAACAGAAATCGAGGGTTGCTCTCCGCAGGGGGACATTCTTCTGCCGTGGAGTTGGCTGCGGTTGCGCTCAGTTTCGTCGACTTTGAAGTTTGAATTGTTCATTTTATGAGTTCCGTGAACTCGATTGGAAATCTGGAAAATGACCAGCCGAAATAGGAAAGCATCCACCGCTTACATAACTCTGCCAGACTGGCGAGATTCGATCCCTTGATGTCTCTGATGGGGCCGATGTTTAGATAGTGGGGCGTCTGTGGCTCGGGCACACTGCTTGTCGCACGCCATTGTTTGAGATAGTGCGCCGACAAAGATGGCATGGAAAAGGGTTTCGAGAGTTGAGTTGTCGACTTGTCGTGATGGCATATGCTCATTTTGTTATGAGAGGTGGCGAGTGTGTTGGTTTCACATCATGTTGGGGTTGCAGAGAAAAGGGAACCTTTTGAGCAGAGATGACAGGAGAAGAGGGGTACACATTGCACGAGAGGGGTATACAGAGATCCCACTGGAGAACACAATTTGAGCAGAGGTGACAACATAGCATGAGAGGGGTATGCGGTGCATTGGAAGGGAGAAGGCAAGGGGCCTTTTCTCCCGGACACAAGGCACCCTCATCGTCACTCGTACTCCCATTAATCCGAGTTAAAAAATCAAATGTTCAAATCACCTGATTGGTGAGGGAAGAAATTGATCGGCGGTCAGGGGGAGAGGGGGGGGGGGGGGGGGGGGGGGGGCAGAGAAAGAGAATACGAAAAAAAAGAAAGACGAAAAGGGCGAAAGGAAAAGTAGGAAAACTGTGGAGTTGTATAGCATATACATATTATACAATCTTTGTTTCATTTTCTCTTTCTGGAAGAGAAGTAGAGCTTGGCGCTCCTTTTTGTCTTCTTCTTTTCTTTTTTTTTTTTAACAGATCCCCTCGAGCTCGGGCTCCTTTCCATTCTGGGGAGCATCAGTCCGGTTCCTATTCCCCCGGCAAGTTGGAAGAATACAACCTTTACCCAGACACGTTCCTCCCCGCTATGGCTGGGAGGCCGGTGTGTACAGCATTGAGGGGTTCCCATGGGAAGGATGTACGACCCCTTGCCCCTGCCTAAGTCAGCCTCAAGACTTGAGAGGCGGTTAACGGAGGCCTCAATTTTCAGACAACTAGTCATGCCATTTATAACAATGTCATTTCAACCAAACTTGCCACCAATTCATAGAGTGGAGATCACCCGTTACTCGGGAGCTGAAAGTGGGGGTCCTTGGTAATCACTTGTGCAAGACTTAAAAGTGAGGACCAATCCTACGTAGAGGGTGTGGTGATTATGCGGTGACCGGTTCTCGAGGAAATCTGGAAGCTGGGGTGCTCCCTTTGCTGCCATTCGTCAGTGGCAATTGGAAGGAAGAAGAAGAAGAAGGAGAAAGAAGAAAGAATGGAAGAAAAAGTATGGAGGAGGAGGAGGAGGAGGAGGAGGAGGAGGAGGAAGAAGAAGAAGAAGAAGAAGAGCAGGAACAGCAGGAACAGAAGCAACAGCAGCAGGAGGGAGAGTGTTAGGGGGAAGAGGGAGAGTATCAGGAGGAGGAGGGAGAAGAAGGGAGGAAGATGGGGAAGATGGGCTGCTGAGGGGGCTTGGGATGATGGAGGAGGAGAACGGGGAGAAGGAGGAGCAGGAGGTGGGAGTAGGTATTTTGAGGGAGTAGGAGGGAAGAGCAGCAGCAACAGCAGAAAGGAGTGGTAGTAGTAGGAGGGGGTTAGGAGGGAGGCAGAGGAGCGAATAGGCTGATGAGGGGGGTAAGGATGCTTCTTCCATACTTGATAATGACGTAACCTAGGGCCTCACCACACCACTGTCGAAATGAAAAAAAGTACACGTGCATCTTCCCCAGAAACTGGCAAGATGCATCCATTACTATGAATGCGACGTGACCCATTTTGTTGTGGCGGATGCACAGTTTCTTGCTAGATCTGCCTTTGTTTACTTATTATTTGTTTTATTTATTTTTCATAATTTTATTTCTAATTCTGGCAGCAAATCTTGCTTAACCTGGCCTTCAAATGATCTCGGTTCGCTAACTGAGCATGGGGTAATTATCATGGTTTCGCCGGAACCAGACCCGGACATAGCGGGACGTCCAGCCGGACTGATGCCCGGAGAATTCCGGGCCAAAAAAAAAAAGAAAAACAACAAAAACAAAACAAAACAAAACAAAACAAAACAAACAAACAAACAAACAAAAAACACCTCAGGTTACAGAAGGTTAACAGACAGGGGGTGAATTAGGCCAGACGTACCTCAAGCCAGTATCCAGCTTGTGCATGCACGCCTCTCTCTGAAAACCAGAATCAGTCACAGCCTGGCCCTCTTTGGGTTTCTGAAAAGGCCAGAAAATAGTTAAAAAATCCCAAAAAAAAATTTTGGGGGTCAAAAAAAAGAAAAAAAAGTAAAATCCGGACCTACCGGACTGGACATCCGCCCGGACATCCAGACGCGGACGGTCCGGACTGGGCTCTGGACGTCTGGAACGTAACCATGGCAATTATTTCGCAAGTTGTCGGCTGAATATCCTGTTGTGTGTTGTGCTGCAGGAATTGACAGGTGGAGTGTTGCTCCTCAGGGACAAATTTTTTGTTATCCTTTACCGCGGCAAAGATTTTCTGCCGGCGACTATTGCGCATGTTCTTAAGCAGAAACATCTGCAGAAGTTGGCGATCACAGACACGAAGGGTGCGCAGGCCATGCGTGAGAAGGATGAGAATGAGGATGAGGATTGGGAGATAGTCGATGACGAGTTCTTGGATTTACAGGAAGAGGAGGAAGGACTCGTATGGAGTGCCAAGATGGCTGATGACGATGATGAGGAAGAGGACGAAGAGGAGGAAGAAGATGAAGATGAAGAAGAAGACGAAGAAGATGACGAAGAAGAAGAGGAGGAAGACAGAGAGCAGGAGATGGCGGATCCTGCTGTTGCATTGGCGACAGAGATCGAGGGAGAAGAAGCGGGAGAAGAGGCGGAGGAGGGGCAACAGCTGGTGCGGGAGGGTCTAGCGTCATCTGCCGTCGTCACTGTTCCTGACGCTGAGGTCATCGAGACGGAAGAAGAACGCAGCGCGGAAAACACGGATACTGCGGAGACGGAAATGGGAGACACTCCCTTGTCAAAGGCATTAAGGGAAGCTTCATTGAAAGCAAAGCGCCGGAAAGCTATGTCCTTGTACGCTGACCCTGGCATAAGGAAGTGGGTGGAGAGAGAGGAAACACAACTGTTGGAGAAAGGAGGGAAGGTGGCCCTGAGCGATGCGCTGACGAAGTTGATGGTCGTTCAGCGGCCTTCAGGACTCGTACGATGGCAGAAGGCCATGCAGGCGATGCAGCCAAAGGCTGTCGATACCGAGACAGAGATTCGCCGTGTCGAGCTGAGGCTGGCGAGGGTGAGTAGATTCTCTCTCTCTCTCTCACACACACACACACACACACACACACACACACACACACAGACACACACACACTTTCACTTGATCGCTGCAGTGCCAAAGTCTGTTTTTTTTTTTTTTTTCCTGTCACTCCTTATCCCTCTTTCTTTTTTTCTCCATCTTCTTGTTCCAGTTACCTGTTCCTATGACTGTATGAATCTGATTTGGTCAGGATTTGAACTCATGAGCTGTTTGCTAACAGTTGTAATTGTTTTCCATTCTACAGTTTCTACTATACCACATGCACTTGGTATAGAGCCCCCCCTCTCTTTAAATTGTTTGATCAACTCGATCCTTCTAAGGGGGGTAATATGTTGATAGCTTGGGCGGGTACCCACCCCATGGACACCAGGACAGGTCTAAGCTGCACCCACCTCCCTCCGTCCCTCCTTCCTTCCCTCCCCCCTCCCTCCCTGCCTTCCTTTCCTCCCTCCCTCCCTCCCTCCCTCCCTCCCTTCCTTCCTTCCTTCCTTCCTTCCTTCCTTCCTTCCTTCCTTCCTTCCTTCCCTTCCCTCCTTCCTTCCTCCCTCCCTCCTGCAATGGACCACTTACAATGCATCATGAGAGTACACACAAAATCAACACCGTAGTCCAGAGATGGTGAGACCAGATTAGCGCAGCTCAAAAACTTCAACGAAAGGTCGTATTATACAAAGCCAGAGTTCAAGTCACCAAGTGCTCAACAGCGCATCATCAGATCATGCAGGTAAGTAGCTGCGTCACCTAGCGCTCGACAGCGCATCCTCCAGCATCGTGAACCAGGTGGGTAACTCGCTCCCTCTCTCTCTTTCTCTCTCTCTCTCTCTCTCTCTCTCTCTCTCTCTCTCTCTCTCTCTCTCTCTCTCTCTCTCTCTCTCTCTCTCTCTCTNTCCTCCTCACCTCTCTCCTCTCTGGGTCTGTATTTCTCAATCTCTCTGCCTCACTTGAAGATCAACTCTGAATACATCCGCTTTCTATTCACACTCTGCTACTACTATTAACATGCGGCGGCTATGGCCACCTGTCTGCCTCAGAACAGCGCTGCCCAGCTGGGCCTTCAGCGCTCAGCCACTCATGATAGCGCACAAGCACCGGCAGCACTTCCACTTTCTCACTAATGAGCAGTCTGTCCAAAACGCTGCTGGCCAGTCCCCATATTGACTTCGACTGGGCTTGGCTTGGACCCGGTACCGGATGCCCGCGGCCTGTTTGCTTTTGGAACGTCAAGGCCCAGCACCTTCCAGAGTTTTCCTTGGTGTGCTGCTGCTTTGAGAAACGTGACTTTTGACTGTGGGATGTGACCTCTGCCTGAGGGATGTGAGTTTTGACTGTGGGACGTGACTTTTGCCTGTGTGATGTGACTTTTGACTGTGAGTGGGTACCGGTTTGGATTTGACCTCTGAGGTACCCGACTTGACCTTTTCCTGTGTCTGGCGGACTTGCCCTCTTTTGACCCTGAAATCCGAATTTGGGGTCTGCAGCGTGAAATGCCTTTCACTTCCTTCATTCCTTCCTCCATCCCCTTCCTGCCTTTCCTTTCCTTCCCGCCTTCCTGCCTGCCTTCCTTCCTTCCTTCCTTCCTTCCTTCCTTCCTTCCCCTCCACTCCTTCAATTCCTTCCTTCCTTCCCCCCCTTGTGTTTTTCCATGCTCTTGCACCCTCCCTCCCTCCCTCCCTCCCTCCCTCCCTCCCTTCCTTCCTCTATCCCCTTCCTTCCCCTTCCTCCATCCTCTTCCTTCTTTCCTTCCCTCCTTCCCTCCTTCCCTCCTTCCCTCCTCTCTCCCTCCCTCGCTTCTTCCTTCTTCCATCCCCTTCCTTCCTCCCTGCCCCCATCCTATTCCTTCCTTCCTTCCTTCCGTCCCTACTCCCTCCCTCCCTCCCTCCCTTCCTGCCTCTGTCTTCCTCCCTCACTCCCTTCCTTCCTTCCCTCCTCCCTCTCCATCCCTCCCTTCCTGCTTCTCTGTCTTCCCTGTCTCTTATACACATCTAGATGTGTATAAGAGACAGCTTTCCCCCCCTTGTGTCTTTCCGTGCCTGCTTTATGCTTTCTCATTGCTGTGTGATGAGAGGGTTGATGAATGCACACCGTTGTTGGTAATTACTAATCAATGTATGGTCTTTTTTTTCTCTGCGTGTGCACGGTGCACACACTTTGGTTTCTTGTTCTTTGTCTCGTTGTGATGTGATTCTTAAGGCTATCGCAAAGAGAAAAAGAGCCGATCTTGCGATCAACAAGGTTTCGCGCTTTGAGGAACGACTTGGGTACACGCTGGATGTTGAGACGATAACTGAGGAGGAGCGGTTCCGATTCATGAAGCTTGGGCTGAAAATGAAGGCTTATCTGCAGCTCGGTACGTTCAACAGTGTACTTGTTGTTTGCTCGCTGCACGTTTTTCATTTTTTCCCCCACGCTTTTGCTTGCTTGTTTTTTTGGCTTGTCTGCCTGCTTGCTTGCCTGCCTGCCTGTTGGTTGGTTGGTTGGTTGCTGTGTTGGTTTACGTAACGGCTTGCTTGTGTAAAGCGTTCTTCATTCCTTGTCGAAAAAAGGGGTTAAGGGTTTTGTGGATTAGCCAATGCTCTGCCCCCCAATGCAATGCCCACCTCATCACAGGGAGGACGAAGAATCTCGTTTTTTTTTTTTTTTTT